CTAAAACAATTATGATAAATGATTTAATTATAAAAATCAACTATCAGATAATAAGTATATTAATTATTACCATAATTAGAAAAATCTAAGATAATATAACAAAGAAAGTGAAAATATGTATTTTATTGGTATTTTATATTTATTTTAATTTTGGTAGTGAAAATTCGTCCAAATATGGTAAAATTGTAAGAAACTATATTATCTTAGATTTATATTTCATGATTAAATTGTTTATATACTATTAATGTTTTAAACTTCTTAAAATATAGTAAAAGAAACAAAGTTATAATATAAAATAAAATATGTATAAATATTTATATTTATTTATAAATTAACCTTTATAAAAATAAAAAGGCGATAGTAACTAACAATCAACTTTTGTGGTAGTTTAGTATTTAAGTTCTATTTAAATTTATTAAATATGTGAATAATCAAGCTCTCAAATTACTCAATTTATTTAGAATTCGTAGCATGAAAGTTATTAAAATGAACGTCAGTCAATTTATTAGGTCAATAAACAAATTTTATCATTTAAATGTTTTTTATCTAAAAAAACTAAAATTCATGATAATTTAATGTAAACATTAAATATAAATGTTATTATTCAGAAAATTTGAACTATTTTAGAAAATGAAACAGTTTAACAAATTCATTAAATCTAAATACAATCAGATTGGAAAAAAAAATAAACTAAAATTTATTTACTTTATACTTTTTTAAAAAAAAAAGTGATAAAATTTTAAGTTTTCTTTCTATTAATTTTACTTAAATAAAAATATAAGAGGTGTTATCTCTGCGCATGGCGCATGAATCATCTAATTCTCTTTATAAATCTGGATTTGCTAATAAATTTGTTTTTTGAAAAAATAAAAACCTAAAAATCATACTAAAAACTGGAAATTGTTTACATGCATCGTTGGTACTCATTTAAAGAGTGTACATTTTGTTTCATTTTTATCATAAAGTTATTAAAATATATAATTTTAACAATTTATATATATATAGTAAAATAATTATATGTTGATCTTATCTATTTCTTTATCGATTAGGTTCATTTACATTACATGATATTATATAGTCAAATCTAACGGTGTTAAAACCATTTCATATACTAATAAAGTATTGTCGTATAAATTGTTAAAAAAAAGTATTGTCGTTTGATTTCAAATAGTCCTACCAAAATTGACATATATTATATATCATAATAATGATAATAATAATTACAATCTTGTTATTTTAACTAACTAGACACCACAATTGAAACAAACTGATTAAATTGAATGTAAAAAGACAGATAATAATTATGTTTAACATTTACATCATATCATCTAATTTAAGTATGTACTAGGATAAGATCCGCGCCTTGAGCGGCACGAAACTATTATTTTTATTATGTTTTTAAAAATGAAACAATAGTTCGGTTTCATTCGGATTAGAGGTGTTCAATCCGGATATCGGGTTTCAGTTCGGCTCGATTTTTTGGTATTTCGATCATTAAAATATAACTACTATTCTAAATCTATATGTACTTCAGTTTGATTTGGTTTATATACCATCGGTTTTCAGTTTATTCAATTTTATACCAAAAAACACAATTATTTAGTTTGAGATCATATTATATATTATACAAATATATAATATGATCATATTTAGAGTCATATTGTCACAGAGTCATTTCTTAAAAAAATATTATATATTTAAATAAAAGAATAAAAAAACAAAAAATGCTTCTATCATCTAATAAAATGATCAAATATAGAATTAATATCAAAACACTAAATTTTGAAAATATAAATAAAAAACAAAACAGAAGCATGAAAGAAAGTTTTTATATTCTTCTATATTTAGTGTTCATCAAACCAATATGTCTTCGATTGAACACAACTATGTTTGTTTAAAGATAAAAAAAAGTTGTAAAGAATTTCAACTAATTGTTGTCCATCAAATTTATAATCTTTACTTCAATTTAGTTACAGTTAAAAAAGCAAAAGATCAAAATAAGAAGTCTTAGTTGTAATAAATTGTTAGCTATTTTCAAATTATAATTATAGTTCAACTCATGTAACAAATAGATATTCATGCGTCGTTATAAATATATACATATTTACATGTTTCAGTTTAATCGATTATAAATCAAACCATATCCAAATCCTATGGTTTTTATAAAATCACATCCATTCGGTTTGTATGGTATATACCAAAAATAACCATATTATCGATTGTTAATATCTTTANTATAATTATAGTTCAACTCATGTAACAAATAGATATTCATGCGTCGTTATAAATATATACATATTTACATGTTTCAGTTTAATCGATTATAAATCAAACCATATCCAAATCCTATGGTTTTTATAAAATCACATCCATTCGGTTTGTATGGTATATACCAAAAATAACCATATTATCGATTGTTAATATCTTTAAAAATATAAAATTAAAAAAAAAAAACTAAGATATTTAAATCATTGATAACAAAAAATTTCAATGTGAAAAATTTAATAAGTTTATAATTTATAAATGTTCTTGAAAATTTATTGAAAATTTTGAAATTAAAATATTTATGTAATCTTATATGGTATATAGTTTAATCTGTATATATATATATTTGTTTTATTATTGAATGATCTTTTTTACTTATATGGTTTTAAAATCATGTATATCTTTTTATAATAAAATGTTAAACTATTGATCATTTATTTTTAACATAATAATTTTTATAGTTTAGTTATTTATTCTCGTTTCTTAAATTTCAAAATATAACCTATACGAAAAAACTAAAGTTTAATTTTATAGCTAATTTGATTGTTTAATTTATTTTAATAATATAAAATTAAAGAAAAATGATGGAGGATATATAAACTGTTATCAAATATTTATTATTAGAATCATTAAGTGTCATATATATATATTAGTCATTTATGGTAATTCCGTAGGTTTTATTTATGGAAATAAAATAAAATAGTAATTATATCTTAGGGAACAATCATTAAGTGTCATATATATATATATATATATATTAGTCATTTATGGTAATTCCGTAGGTTTTATTTATGGAAAGAAAATAGCATATCATATCATTATATCATATAGTTTGACTAATTAATGTTTGACCAAAAAAAAAAAAAAAAAAAGACTAACTAATGTATCTAGCAACCTATAAAAATCCAATGTGGACTTACTTATTTTTCAATTGAATCTAATTGACTACCTAATTGAATGACACCTATGCATTGGGACCTCTTTTAATTAATAAAAAATTGAGGTTACATCTTTTCAAATGTTCCTCAATTAATATATAGGGGACTACACAATTAATATCTCCATCACAACTACACAAGTTAAACAATATTACAAACACGGATTACTCAGATTAAGCAAGAATTACGTACACATCCCCGCGCTTGCGCGGGACCAAGCCCCTAGTATTCTAAAATTGCAGGGTAGTTTATTTGTATGTAGCCGTCCCTCTAACTCTCTAAGCTTAGTAAAATATCAGAAATCATAGCAAACAAAAAAAATTATAAACAAATCGGAAATGAGCCGGCCTCGTGTTTAATAAACAGAGGCAATTAAGCAGATCGACGTTAAGTCCCGAAGTGGACCCCTCCTCTCTACAATAATAAAAACAGAATATCGAAAATGTCCCTACCTTCATATAAAACTCCAAAGGAAATCACGTGGCAAGCAAAGGGACAAAAGGGACAATATGTGATACGTGTCGTCACTTACTTAAATAGAAAGTCAATTCCTAACGGTATCCAGCCACCGACTACCGACCATGGGTCCCGCTTTCTGTCCTCATCCTCTTCTTATCCCTCCCTATGCAGACGTGTGTGTATACGTACCCATTCAATAAATATAATTACTACTCCCTCCGTTTCATAATAAGTGTCGTTGTAGAGAAAATTTTTCGTCACAAAATAAGTGTCGTTTTCGGTTTTCAAGGCAAAATTTATTAACTTTATTATGTAATTTATTTTTCTATTGGTTGAAATATGGTTAGGTGTATGGGTAATTGTGTTTTTATATAGAAAATATGCAAAATTAATTGTTTCCTTAATCTGTGTGCACGAGCTTAGAGTGACACTTATTTTGAAACAGAGGGAATATAATATAGTACTATTTACGTTACGTCTACCGGAAAACATATTTTACGTAATAGTCGACATCCGATGTTTGTCTTTGCTTTTAGTTGATCTAAAATATCCGGTTGAGTATGGTTTTAAGTTTTAACGTAAAAAGTCAAGCGTGCATGTTTGATTTTTAGGTTATGACGGTTATGTAAATGAATACAAAAATTGTGAAAATGATTATGGTTTAATGAACGAATTTAAAAGAGACAAAAAAGGATTTGATCTTGTTTCGTTAATGTTTTGATATTTGACTTTTATAATATATGATTTGATCTTCTTTCGCTTATATATGATTTTAAAAAATTATTAATATATCAGCAATTCAACTTTTTGCATAATGTTTTAACGACTAGCAAAGAAATCAATGTTCAAAAAGGAAAGAAAATCAACGAATATATTACTGTTTTTAATCAACGAATATTATACCTTCTAATTTTTTTTTTGAAGTTTGGTAATATGTAAGAAAAAAGTTGATACAATAACAAAATTACATATAATTTTACACATCAAAACATATCTTCATATAAACATTATCTTTAGCATGCATACTTTTTTTTTTTTACTATCATGTTACAAAATGCTTAATTAAATAGTGTATAATACGATGATTATTCCAGCATTATAATTTATACATAAGAAATACATTATTTACAAAAACAAATCTGGAAAACTGTATCATAATTGAATTCAAGTATTCAACGATTAATTTTGTCAAAAAAAAAAGTTTCAACGATTAAGAATCTTTTAATTAATGAGTTTCAGGACTATACGCCTCATCTCAGGTCTCATCCAATTTTTAAAATATCTTTTATCACAAATTAAATTTCATATAATCAGTTTTATAAAACTTCAAAAATTAGCCGAAAATACAAAATTTTACCTATAAATAAGGAGAGTCGTCTTGTAGTTTGGAATTTTCTCCACCAACTACAACTACAACTCTGCAAGCCTCTCCCTCTCATCTTCCCTAACCTACCAAAATCCGGTAGTAATATGCTACACCACGGAGCCGCCGCCATGGAGGCCGCCGGGGTACCAGCCGCTGACGTGGCCGGTGGAAGGAAGAGAGAGAGACCATACAAAGGGATAAGGATGAGAAAATGGGGAAAATGGGTGGCCGAGATTCGAGAGCCCAACAAACGTTCAAGGCTATGGCTCGGCTCTTACTCTACTCCTGAGGCGGCGGCACGTGCATACGACACGGCGGTTTTCTACCTGAGAGGACCTTCCGCTACGCTCAATTTTCCGGACCTTTTGCCGAGCATAGAGAAATCCGCGGCCGAGGATATGTCGGCGGCGGCGATTAGGAGGAAGGCCACGGAGGTCGGAGCTCAGGTGGATGCGTTTGGGATGGCGGTGATGAACAGCAAACGCCGCCGCGTTTTTAGTCAAAAAGGTGACTATGTTGGCGGGTTATTGGAGCAGGTTGACTTGAACAAGCTACCTGACCCGGAAAACCAGGATAACGATTTGGTGGGAAAAAAGACTATTTGAGAAAATTATATTTGAAAGAAGTCTTACGACGGTGGGTGTTGCTATCGTACGCGGTGAGCCGGGGGGCAATGTTTCGTCGTTACCATTAAAATTTCATCCCCAAGTGAAATTCTGTATATTATTTCTTGATATAGTGATTGATATGACTTTTCTGGTATTACGTATCGATTGTTTGATAAACACTAAAGTACCAATTCAACGAATGTATTATAATCTATTTATGTCACAATCACATAACGCTATTAAAAAGTTATTTAGTTCATCAAGTCTTCAGTGTCAACCTTTTGGTCTATCCAAGGAATTCTTCCTATCTTTCTAAAGAATATTAACCACACACTGTTATAAAGATTGATTAATGAACTGACTTTTTATGCTACATAGGATGAAATAAACAGTAAATGGAGTATAAAGAAGAATAGTATTTGATTATTAGGGTCCATGTGTTAAAGTTTGGTTTAGGTCTGAAACGTAGATTCTACGAGTGGATTATGCAATGGTACAAAACTACAACGTATACACAAATGACTAATTGATATACCATAATTTTGACCCGCTTTTGGTCATATTTTCTATATGTTTTTATTATAATTATCTATGTTTTGGAGTCTATTAGGTATGTTTTCAGGTTCAGAAGCATTTTGTCGTAAAGTGATGATTTAGGTGCCTTTTAGTGCTTAAAGAAGAGTTTTCCAAGATGACTATGAAGATCCGACATAAGAGATGCATATCGATCGATACACACCCTGTGTAATCGATCGATGACGCTTCCGTAGAAGTTGAAGTCGAGATACTCCATCGATCGATGTACGCAATGTACCATCGATCGATACAGAGCGTGATGAGCAAGATTTATTTGGCCAACTTGAAGCCCAAGTTCTCACCAAAATTATAAGACTGCCCCTGACGAGTTTTTAACCTAATTGTACTCTATATTTATAGCTATGCCTATGAGCCCTAGAAAAAAAAAGAAGTTTTGAACCAAGTTTTGTATTCTATTTTATACTTAACAATAAAAGCATTTTCTTTTGTTCTTATTCTTTTGCTATGAATCTCTTGGCTATGTCTGAGTAGATTCATATGTTAGATTTGGGGTTCAAATAGTTATGAGGGATTAGCCCCAACTATGGATTGTTGAGTTGTTATATTCATTATCCAAATGAACCCTAATGCTTACTCTAAACTTGCTACCTAGAGTATTGATTATGGAGTGACTAATCTAATAGTCATCTTCCTGAAATCATTTGGCTAAACCTAGACTCTATTAAGGCACGATGCGACAGCCGGTCTGATAGAAGTTCTCGGGTGAACACAGTTTCAATTCGATCTGATACTTTATATCGATCGATGCTCCTCTAGAGTTATCGATCGACGACAGCTTATCGATCGATGCAGTCGGTAATCAGATCAATGGACGAGTCTAACTAGCGACAGCTATAGATTTGTCTAAGGGTTGAAGTTCTCATATATTTCAAGCAATTCGTTAAGACATCCATAGATTTATAATCCTGATTTTCTGAATAGTAACCTTGAATCTAATACTTTCTTTCATTGTTTTCAAACCAAAACCTATTTTCCTTAACAAATTACCATTGCTACTTATTTTATTTACTGTTTTAAACCTTTTTCAACCTAGCTTAATCACTTAGGATTATATCTTTTGTGACTCTAGTTCCTTGTGGATTCGATCCCTAAGTACTGCGATTGAACCTCTTATTTGAGAGAGTAAATCACTTCT